CCTTTTATCCAAATAAAGTCATATCCCTAATGGATTTCTGTCTGTCTGTCTGTTTTCGACATAGAACTTTGCACAAATGTGCGGAAGTTCAAGTCGCCACATTCCGTGTAGCACGCGAAGCAAGAGAAGAAAGTACAAGAAAAGCATAATAGAAACAGTGAGCAGAGGTGTGAGACAAAGGAGTAATAAAGAAAAACAAAACAGTTTCATTGGAGATCATAAGTCACAGGGAGTGGATGCATCTGCGCCACTGAGAACGATTTTGAGCCATGTCACCAATTGTTTCCAACCATAGATTTTTACCGTCCCGAGGACCCCAGCCTGGAAGTCTACACCTTTCTACGTGGCTTAGACCAACTGTTGTGGATTTCATTGACTGATGCCAAGTTTTTGTTTGACCGCCGCTAGCTTTTTTCCAGCCTGACCCTATATCCGCTAACATTGCTCGTCGAGGGAGGCGATGGCTTGGCATACGTAACACATGTCCTAACCATCTCAGTCTTTGTAGCTTCACGACTTCGTCGATTGATTTCCCCTGTTTACCTAGAACTCTACGCCTAACCTCCATGTTGCTCACCTTATTATGCCACTTTACACGGGAAATAGAACGCAGGCACCTATGATCAAAGACAGCTAGTCTTTTCATGTCTTCCACTCTCAGTGGCCAGGTCTCACAACCATAAAGGAGGACGGAGCGGACTGATGAGCAGTACACCCGCCCTTTGGTCGATAGTCGAACATCTCGTCTACGCCAGAGTCGGCGTAAACTAACAAATGCGAAACGAGCCCCTTGTATTCGTGCTGAGATTTCGTCAGAGATCAGCCCGTTGGGGCTGATGGTACTTCCCAAATAAGTGAAGCGGTCAACGTGCTCTACCACTTCACTTCCTATTTTTAAACTAGGCGTCGATGTAGTCCAGTCCTGTAACATCATCTTGCATTTGGCGGGAGCGAATCGCATGCCAAACATTCGTAGATTGCGGCTCAAGGTGTTTAGAAGACTCTGCATTTCGTCAGCGTCTTCGCCTAGAAGGACTATATCGTCTGCATATTCCAAGTCAACGAGATTATTCCCCGGTAGCAAGTCAATCCCTGAGTCGCTGAAGTCACCTAGGGTTAAGTCCATTAACACATCTATGATGAAGTTGAATAGAAAAGGAGATAATGGGCATCCTTGACGGACACCACTGGTCGTCATCAGTTCAGATGACAGCTCGCCGTAAGCCCTCACCTGGCTGTATGAGTACGAGTAGAGTGCCTTAATCAGTGCAATATATTTTCTCGGAATTCCCTTTACAGCCAAGCATCTCCAGAGAACTTCCCGATCGACAGAGTCGAATGCTGCCTTTAGGTCAAGAAATATAATGACTGTTGGACGCCGGTAGGAATGCCTATGTTCTAGAATCTGTCGGAGGGTGAAGATATGATCAATACACCCTCTTCCTGGTCTAAAGCCTGCCTGGCTCTCTCGTGTTTGTGCTTCCCGAGCACCACTCAGTCTACGCATGATTATTGAGCCTAAGACTTTAGATACTATATTAGTCAAGCTAATCCCTCTGTGATTATCACAGGAAGACTTGTCTCCCTTCTTGTATATGGGGATAATCAGTGACTTACACCAACCCGATGGGACTTCTTCTGATTCCCAGACGCTGCCTAGTACCTCAGTTAATCCGGACAGTAAGCTGTCTCCACCGTACTTAAATACCTCTGGAGTCATTCCATCAGGTCCCGCTGCTTTGCCTAGTTTCAGATTGGTGACAGCTTTAGTAACCTCAGTTAGTGACGGAGGACCTGTGTTTATATCCCATTCAGGGAGGTGTTGGATGCTCGGAAGGTTGAGCGTGGCTGTGGGCAAATTAAACTGCTCCTCATAATGCTCTTTCCAACGATCCAGTCGTCTATCCTGTGAGCTAATTATAGTGCCATTTTTTTCCGAGATTGTCTCACTGATGATTTGTCTTCTCCCACCCGTTTCCCTGATGAGTCCAAAGAGTTGCCTGGTGTTGCCTATCCTCGAAGCTTTCTCCATCTCTTTGGCTTTTGTCGCCCACCACTGTTCACGGTCCTTGCGGAGACTTTTCGTAAGTTTCCTCTTGTGCAGCTTTCGCTCCTCATTGAATTCGGAGCTCGCCGGAATAAGTCTTCTAGCATCTATCAGTTCGGATGAGGCGGTGGAGATCCAGTGGTTTTTACTCACCTTTGGGTTTACCTTATTCACAGCTTTTACAGCTGTATCTATGGCTGCCTGGATATTTTTCCAAGCTTCTTCAGGGTGAGCACAGCTGTCGAACACAGATATGTGTTTAGCTAGTTCTTCCTGAAATACGGATTTAGTTTCCTGATCGAGCTGGGGACGTGATGGTTTTACCGCCAGCTGTTTCCTACGTCCGTTCAGTCGTAAGCACACCCGAGCGCGGACCAGTGCATGGTCGGTATCTACGCACGTGTTCCAGAAGGAGCGACAATCTCCTACCGACCCACGCCAACGATAGCTTATTGCTATGTGGTCTATTTGTGTCCAGCGTTGGTTTGATGAAGGGGGTCTCCAAGTCAAACAGTGTCTCTCCTTGTGTTTAAAGTTAGTGCTTACAAGAAACAAATGATTATCAGAGCAGAACTGTAGGAGACGGTCACCGTTGTCGGTTCGCTGGATTTATACTCTACCACAGTGCCCAAGTTTTTTCTACTTATATTGATAAGGCATAAGGTTAAGTTGGAAAATAACCACTGGTGGTCAAGCGAAAACATGTCCTCAACAGTCAATGAAATCCACAATTAGTTAGTTAGTTAGGCAGCGTCTGGGAATCAGAAGAAGTCCCATCGGGTTGGTGTAAGTCACTGATTATCCCTACGTACAAGAAGGGAGACAAGTCTTCCTGTGATAATCACAAAGGGATTAGCTTGACTAATATAGTATCTAAAGTCCTAGGCTCAATAATCATGCGTAGACTAAGTGGTACTCGGGAGGCACAAACACGAGAGAGCCAGGCAGGCTTTAGACCAGGAAGAGGGTGTATTGATCATATCTTCACCCTTCGACAGATTCTAGAACATAGGAATTCCTACTGGCGTCCAACATTCATTATATTTCTTGACCTAAAGGCAGCATTCGACTCTGTCGATCGAGAAGTTCTCTGGAGATGCTTGGCTGTAAAGGGAATTCCGAGAAAATATATTGCACTGATTAAGGCACTCTACTCGTACTCACACAGCCAGGTGAGGGCTTACGGTGAGTTGTCATCTGAACTGGTGACGACCAGTTGTGTCCGTCAAGGATGCCCATTATCCCCTTTTCTATTCAACTTCATCATGGATATGTTAATGGACTTAACCCTAAATGACTTCAGCGACTCAGGGATTGACTTGCTACCGGGGAATAATCTCGTTGACTTGGAATATGCAGACGATATAGTCCTTCTAGGCGAAGACGCTGACGAAATGCAGAGTCTTCTGAACACCTTGAGCTGCAATCTACGAATGTTTGGCATGCGATTCGCTCCCGCCAAATGCAAGATGATGTTACAGGACTGGACTACATCGACGCCTAGTTTAAAAATAGGAAGTGAAGTGGTAGAGCACGTTGACCGCTTCACTTATTTGGGAAGTACCATCAACCAGTGACAACGCGTTGATCTCTGACGAAATCTCAGCACGAATACAAGGGGCTCGTTTCGCATTTGTTAGTTTACGCCGACTCTGGCGTAGACGAGATGTTCGACTATCGACCAAAGGGCGGGTGTACTGCTCATCAGTCCCCTCCGGCCTCCTTTATGGCTGTGAGCGAGACCTGGCCACTGAGAGTGGAAGACATGAAAAGACTAGCTGTCTTTGATCATAGGTGCCTGCGTTCTATTTCCCGTGTAAAGTGGCATAATAAGGTGAGCAACATTGAGGTTAGGCGTCGAGTTCTAGGTAAACAGGGGAAATCAATCGACGAAGTCGTGAAGCTACATCGACTGAGATGGTTAGGACATGTGTTACGTATGCCAAGCCATCGCCTCCCTCGACCGAAGAGCAATGTTAGCGGATATAGGGTCAGGCTGGAAAAATGAGAGCTAGCGGCGGTCAAACAAAAACATGGCATCAGTCAATGAAATCCACAACAGTTGGTCTAAGCCACGTAGAAAGGTGTAGACTTCCAGGCTGGGGTCCTCGGGACGGTAAAAATCTATGGTTGGAAACAAATGGTGACATGGCTCAAAATCGTTCTCAGTGGCTAGGGCAGATGCATCCACTCCTTGTGACTTATGATCTCCAATGAAACTGTTTTGTTCTTCGTTATTACTTCTCCTTTGTCTTACACTTCTGCTTACAGTCTCTATTATGGATTTCTTCTACTTTCTTCTCTTGGTTTGTGTGCTACATGGAGGTAGTGTGGCGACTTGTACTGCTGCACATTTGTGCAAAGTTCTATGTCGAAAACAGACGGAGACAGACAGACAGTTTGAGTCAACCAGCTACCTAAGGAGGGGGGTGAAGACTTCCTGGCTGGTTGGGCTCCTCTAGTTGGCAAGATCCAATGGAGGCTGGAGACAATTAGTGATATGACTCAAAAGCTTCGTTTCTCAATGACTGGCCTAGATGCATTCACTCCACATGATTTGTCATACCCAATAAAAGTCTATTGTTCTTTCATATCACTATTCTTTTTGCCTCATATCTCTGTTTATTGCCTCTCTCTCTCTCTTCCTCTTCTCACTTCTCTTGCTTTGTGTGGTACATGGAAGGAGTGTGGCAACTGGAACTGGTGCACATCTGTGCAAAGTTCTATGTTGAAACCAGTCCACCAGTCAGTTAGTCAGCTCCTCTTGGTTTTCTACTGGGTTCTTCGATTATTGTAACCTTGTGATCAAACACCTGTAACTATGACTACTAATTTTCATATGATGATAAATAAATTCTGTCAATCACTTTTTATTCTCGTTTCCTCATTTTATTTTATTTTGTTTTCTTTGTTTGTTCGTTTTATTTTTTGTCTTTTTTTTTCACCTGTTAAGAATAATCGACAGTCGAATAGTACGAAGTCAGTATCTCCAGATTGTAGTACAACAAGTTTACTGCGTACCTCAAAAACAAGTACATCTATGTTGACAATGGACACCAGTAAACAGCACACCAGTAATACTAATGTTGTTGTTGTTGGTAATGATGTTGATGGTGTTATCGATAAAATTCCATCAATCGGTGTAAGATCAAATTCGAATATAACTATTTCATCATGGTCAACAGTACAAAGTCGTCATCATATTGACAAATCAAGTCCTAGACAATTATCTAATCAAAATGTTTTCAAATCAAGTACTCGAGCTTCATCAAAACGTCTTGCAAATTTATATAATGTAAGTCTTAGTGATTTTGAATACTTCTGCAGCCTTCAACCAACCATTTTTTCTTTATTTTCTTATTATAACGTTTTTTTTGTTGTTGTGTATATTATCCTAGTTTTGTAACGCTTTAGCAATGAACCCATGACCTCATAAGGGTTAGAGTTCAAGTCAGTTAGGATTTAAGAGGCAAGTATACACTCCGAGGTACTACTGTAACAACAAAAAACAAGGGCCAAAAAACAGATCGTTTATTGAGAAAATCAACAGATATATTTGTAGATTTTTATGTACATTATTATTAGCATTATTGTTAGCAGAGAAGCAATCTCTTCTGATTGGTTGTTTTCTTGCTCAAGGTTATTCTGTGATCGTTTCCTAGACAGTCAGATCGTATATCTGCAAATCGTATACGCCCACGCTAAGTCTGCTGTGATTGGTTGTTGAGTTCCTCAAGGTTATTCTTTATTTTTGTTATTTTCTTTTCTCCTCACCCTGATTCGCGACGTAAATTGTTGTCTGCCGATTTTGGCTAGCAGATAGCTCTCACCACACTACAGTCTATGACGGCCTAGGATTTAATCGCTGGTGGTGTGGAGTATGTGTGGGTATGTTTGACTGAAGAATTAAAAACTGGCTTGAAATTGCCGTCCAATATTTTTTTTATTGTCTTTCAATAGTTTTATGAGTGATTTTCAATTCATAATGAAATCCACTTTCAATATCGATCACATTCTCCGTGAACCCAACAGTGATTTTTAAAAAATATTTAATGTATGGGTCTTACTCAAAAAACTAGTGTTCTCTATAGTTTGTTTTTGAAATCCTTATACAATTTCTTCCATCTGGTCAGGCATGTTTACTTTGAGTTGTTTTGTAGACTGTCTGAGGGAAATAAACACCTTCAGCCTGAGCAAGATTGACATCAGTAGCCTTATATTTAACTAGAATGTTAAAAGAGGAGGGCAGTTTTGGTGTGTTAAGTGAAGTTGTCAAGAGGTTCGTGTATGTAGATAGTTGTGCAAGTGCTGACGGTGCGACAAACATGATCTCTAACCGTACAATGAAAGCTAGAGTGGCATACACCAATTTGAACCACCTCTTGTGCCGTCATGAATTTAGCCTGGCTTTCAAAGGTTTTATGTCAACCGTCGGGTTAACAATGCTTCGATGTGCTCAGTCTGTCTTTACGCCTATGAAACCTAGCCTCTGAGCTGAGGATGTGTAGGGTGACTCTGAGTACCTGATCATCGCTATCTCCGTAGAATTTCTTGCTTTCGATGACATCATCTTGTGAATAATTCTGATGTCTAGCAGCATATATTTGAACACGGTCAACGTCAGCATCCATCGAGTGTCGTCATTTGGAAACACCAGCTTCATTGGCTTCAACATGTGTTACGGATGTCCTCTCAAAAGTTTCCGTACTCGTCGCCATGAGACTGGATAGAATGGGTGGAGAGGTGGTCAGTCTATGATGTGTAGTACTGTGGGTTGAAGGATGTCTATATCAGGTTATTATCAGTTGGTAAATCACGACTCCTCGTTTGGATTTCGATAACTAATTCGAATTAGTGGCTCGAAACGTTATCAGATAAGGCCAAGAATTGTAATCGATGGTGAACATGTTGCAGTCCCTTTTCTAAAAGTAATATGAAGTGATCAATGTTGAGTGATCTTGATAAGTATGGCTTGTCTGCTTCCTGGATAACATCCCTTATTCACTCTCCCCTTACTTTCTTTATTTGTATTGTCGTTTTATTATTATTGTCTTAAGACTCATCTCTTGGTGTCTATAATATACCAAAAGATGACCTCAATCCATGAAGTATTTCAAGTATTGGTTTGTAGGGATTTGATTGACTGGTTACAGGATTTCATCATGAGCTGACATTGGTTAAAGAACCATTAGGAAACCTGCCAAGGAGTACTGAACAACTGTTTCGTCGCAGTTACACACACCGCAGTACACACCCACCGCCAGGGGTCGAACCCAAGACCTTCTGGTTACACGGCGAGCTCGTAGACAATTAAGCCAATGGGACCCGATGCAATAGCCCATGAATTCTAACTTCTGCCAATTCACGATATAGCGCAACCGATAGCCAATGTCTTCGGCGAGTATTTGTCCTCACACGTGACCCGCTGCACCTTACTGCTTACGACTTCCCACTGGGACCCCAGGTAACTACCTGCCTGAATAGGGCCAGTCGCCAGTGAGCATCTCATTGGCTAGCGGTTGCGTTATATCGTGAATTGGCAGAAGTTAGAATTCATGGGCCATTGGATCAAGTCACAGTGGATTAATGGTCTACGAGCTTGCTAGCTTTGTAAACAGAAGGTCCTGGGTTCGAATCTTGGCAGTGGGTGCTTGCTGCTGAAAAGTCTCAAACTAGGCTGACGAAACAGCTGTCTAGTACTCCCAAATTTTCCAATGGTTCTCTAACCAATGTCAGCTCATGATGAATTCCTGTAACCATGAAGTATTAGCTAGTTGATTTGAACTCATCACGTAGGGAAGTGTAGACGACTGGCACAATATAGTGTAAAACTTCGACACTGTGGTAGTTGATAATTCCATATTAGTTTGTTTATTAGATGTATCACACAGTCAGTGAAACAGTATTACTGTTCACTGGATGACACAGTTTCCAACACAAATCATTGTTGTTCATAATCATTTCATCATTGATTTCATCATAAGCTGACATCAGTTAAAGAATCATTGGGAAACCTACCAGGAAGTACAGATGTTTCGTCAGCCTAGTTTGGCACTATGCGGCAGTTCGCACCCACCGCCAGGGCTCGAACCCAGGACCTTCTGGTTAGCGCATATAATAACATTCAGCCACTAGGACCCGAGCTTGTCTTGTAACCGGAAGGTCCTGGGTTCAAACGCTTCTGATGGTGCGTACTGCCGATGCATCCCAAACTAGGCTGATGAAACAGCTGTCCAGTACTCCAGTGCTGGTTTTCAATGCTTCTCTAACTGATATCAATCATCCGTGATCAACTTGTAAAAACAAAACTAATCCTTACAACTTTTACCTATGTAACACAAATTCAAGTAGTGATTTAGGTTAAGAGGACGGTTTGACGCGGATAACACCTTACGTGGATTCCTCACTTGTTATTATTATTATTCTTATAATTACCTTGGGTTCAAGGTGAAAAATAGGGCTTGACATCAATAAATCTCAATTACACTGTTGATATATGTGTGAAATTTTGGCACTGTGGTAGTAAGTAATTCCATATTAGTTTGTTTATTAGATGTATCACACAGTCAGTGAAACAGTATCATTATTTACTGGATGACGCTTCGAACAAAATTTATTCATTGTTCATGATCATTTCATCAATTATAATCACACGATAATAAAGGTTTTCTTGTATTTCCCAATGAATGAAAAAACAACATCGTTTTGTCTTTTATTCATTGGGAAATACAAAAACCTTTATATTATAATGAATATCATATACCACCCAATGCCCAAATTTTTTCAAACTGTTTATAGTGAACTTGGTTTAGACATATACAATATAATCACATGACTTCGAAACTTGAGTTTTATGGTTTTCTTTGTTCTCTCCTATTTATCGTCGTTGAGGTAGAAGAATTTCCCAGATGTCTGCGTGAACACGTGCTGAATCATTCCTATTGCACGTATTTACAGTTGATTCGATGAACAAAGCTTCCGTTGACATCAATCTCTCTCTCCACCATGTTAGTTGTATTAGATTTTGAAACTGTCATCTTATCCCATCCATCCAGTCTATTGTATGGTAGTGTGTAATAGCATGTAGTGAGTGCTATAGCTGATGAACTATTCTCTAGATTTCTTATCTTATTATTGGGGTCAACTAATCTAGATTTTCCTGCTAGGTTTTTATGCTCCTGTCCCAGCTATCTAGAAAATTCTGCTACCCCAACGACGACAAATAGGAGAGAGCAAAGAAAACTGTAAAACTGAAGTTCCAACTTTTGCCAATTCGCCAAACATATATATATATATATATAGCGTGACTGCCAGCCAATGTGATTGGCGACTATTTGTCCTTATGAGCTTGCCTTGTCAACGAAAGGTCCTAAGTTTGAACCCAAGTGGGTGGGCCGAAGAATGAAGAAACAGCTCTCCGTGATCATAGCAGGCAGGGTATTCGATAAACTAAATTGGGCTTGAAAAGTCGCCGAGACTCAAACCCACAAACTCAATTAGAAACAAGCTTTGTCAGTTGAAGGATCCTGCCAGTGGAGCCTTTAAAACGAAACAATTAAGTTTATCTGATACCCTGCCAAAAATGACTGTCAGGTCAAATACATAGGTCAAACTAGTAGAACAAGGTCTAGCAGTCAGACTAGCCGAGGATGAAAGCCTAGCAGGAAAATCTAGATTAGTTGACCTCAATAATAAGATAAGAAATCTAGAGAATAGTTCATCAGCTATAGCACTCACAACATGCAATTACACACAACCATACAATAGACTGGATGGATGGGATAAAATGACAGTTTCAAAATCTAATACAACTAACATGGTGGAGAGAGAGATTGATGTCAACGGAAGCTTTGTTTATCAAATCAACTGAAAGTGAACACGTGTAAAATAGGGATGATTCAGCCCCCTACCCCAATGACGACGACAAATAGGAGAGGACAAAGAAAACTATAAAACTCAAGTTTCGAAGTCGTGTGTGATTATAATTGATAAAATGATTATGAACAATAATAAATAAATGGTGTGTTCGAAACTGCGTCATCCAGTAAATAATAGTAATGATACTGTTTCACTGACTGTGTGATCTAATATATGATAGAACAAACTAATTTGGCACAATATTAGATTTGTGCAGTTTTTTGTTCTCATCTCTCCCCCCTCTGTCTGTTCCAAGCAAACAAAAGGCCGATGATACATACATAAGTGACAGTGGAATCATTATTTCCTCCGCTTTAGAACGTATTGTTATGTAGGGTTGTTTGTATTTTGTGTGTGATGGCGTTGTTGTTGTTGTTC